GTAAGCAGGTATCTTTATCTGAAAGAACAAGGAATTTTGGCTTTCATGACACATGGACCATACCAAGTTAAAGTCATGCCATTTGGTATGAAAAATACGCCAGCTACATTTCAAAGACTGACCAATAAAGTAATTTTGGGATTACCCAATTGTGTGGTGTACTTTGATGATCTAATGATCTTTAGTCACACATGGAAGGAACATTTGGAGCTCTATCAGAATTATTTGATTGATTCCAGGAGGCGGGCTTGGTGATCAATCTGGCTAAGAGTAAGTTTGCAAAAGCCCAAGTCATATTTCTGGGCAATGTCATTGGACATGGAAAGATGGTTTGTGAAAACAAATGTTATTGGGGAATTTCCCATACCATTGCCGAAGAGGGAAGTACTGTGATTCCTGGGAAGGAGTGGTTTTTATTGGAAGTTTGTACCAAATTTTAGCAGTGTGATTGCTCCACTGAGTAACTCGTTGAAGAAGTGCAGACAATTTCAGTTGGAGGAATGTTGAAAGGCATTTGACAGCCTGAAAACTGTGTTAACCATTGCCTCAGTGTTAGCCACAGCTAATTACACAAAGACATTCAAGGCAGCTATCGATGCAAGTAATGTAAGTGTTGGTGCTTTTCTCTTGCAAGAAGAGAACAAAAAGATAAAAAGATCTCTTGGGTATTTTTCAAGAAAACTAAATAATCATCAACAGAAATATTTCACGATTAAGAAAAAGACTTTGAGCGTGGTATTGGTGTTGGAACATTTTGACATTTATATTACTAGTAATATGTCTGCGACAATGACATGTACTATCATAACACATTAAAGCTTTTGAAAAATCTGAAGGATGAGAGAACGTAATTGCCACTGCGTTGTTGTGACTTTGATGAAGCAATATGAAGGTGTTCGGTAGTTGGAAAAAAGGACTGAAATAGACTATGATAGTGAATGTTTGCATGCTTTGAGTCAATGTACTGTATATGTATTGTAGTGGACAAATGGAGTAAGAGTAAGGGTTTTTATAAATGAAGCCATTTTTCTGTACTGATGGTTCATTTGTTTCAAGAGTGGAGGTGTGACAATACTATGGCTTTAAGAGGTGTATTTTGTCCTTTTTTTTAAAGAGAGGTTTTCAAGCAGAGGTCCTGAGCAGTCTATGCAGAGTAGACACTTTGTGAGGCCTTGGGGTTTTTTAAAAGTAGGAATAAGAAGCAGTTTGAATGGGTGGGGTCAAACACCTACAGAACCAGGATTTTTCATTTTCAGTGGCAGTTCCTGCTGGAGTCTTGAAGATGTGGAAGCTGCTTTTTCCCTCTCTCAGTTAGAGCTAAAAGCTGGGGGTTTCTCTTCCTGCTGCTAGAGTTGCATGTGAGACAATCTGTTTTTCTAAATTTGCCTTTGTCAAGGGGGTGTTTATGGGATGGAACAGTTAATTAGTAATAGTTACTGTTCCATTATTTAATTAAGCATTTCAATAGAGTTACAGCTAAGCCAATTCTTTATTTTTTTTCTTTTCTTACATTTTAAGTGTATGAATAAATTTATTTGTTCGACCAGTTGAATTGCATCTGGAATGCATTACCTTATACTTACCTTTAAAATACGAAAAGGTTAGGGTTTAGACTATCTTCTTAATATATTTTGAGGGGGTTTGATCTGGTCCATAACGATTGTCACCATACTTTGGCTTATCAATTAAAACCCAGAGCTTGCAGCACTAGAAAGGGTAAAAAAAACTATCATCAGATTCATTTTCATTCACTTGTGGGGCAATAGCATCACTGGCTGGCCAGCATTTACTGCTTGTCCCTAATGACAAAGGTGCTTATTACTACATAGAAAACACAAATCCTTTTTCTTCAGAGGTCTGATGGTTTCTGACAAAATTTTCACACCCCTAGCTGTTCAGCTACCCGGAAGCAAATCGTATACTTGTTGACAGGCAGAAAGGCCTTCATCATCAATTAACGTATACTAATCCACAAACCAATCAGCTGCTTGTTGTCAGCCAGAGGAAGCTCCATTTGTACACACTTTTTTGCTCCAGCTCATCTATAACTAGGCTTCCAGTATTGCTTGAACAAACAGCTGAGGAAACATCATTTACATTGAATTTCAGTTTACTTGCATTTAAAAAGTTAGCAATCCTTTAATAGACCTTGATTTTAAAAGTTATTTTCCCTTTTAGTTCTTAATCAAAGATTTAGAAAAGTAAAAATATAGACATTTCAAGTACTATGGTGTGGATACAGTGCCTGGTTCTGAAGGGTGCTTACAGTGGAGTAAGCACAGCCTCAAGTGTTGTGGAGTGGATGCAGTGCCAGTTCCCTAGAGTGGGTACATTGCCAGTCCTGTGGCATGGGTATAGTGCCCAATGCAGTTGTAAAGACCAGATCTTTTTATTTCTTTTACTTCGGGCTGTGGACTGAAAAAGAAAGATACAGATTTAAACCAAGGAGATCATGTAAAGAGATGTCTGTAGTTTTGAAAATCATATTTACTAGAGTGAACTGTTGCATAGAACATTGTTTTTTTTTCTGGAACAATGAAAGTACAAAATAGGTCTCCATGAAGCTGGTGCGTACTAAAGAATGGTGCTTGACAACAACAACATCCTAATTGGATCCTGACCAGGTGATCATGGCTTATGTTCCTCTGTGCAGGTACTAGAGCACCCCCAGTAACGGCGAAATATTTTCCCTTCTTCTTTCTTTGCAAACCCAGTTGTATAATGAATAAGATACCTTAAAGGAATTTCCAATGAAAGATAACATTGATATGCAAACAACCATGCCTCAATGTAAAGAACTAAAAAGGAATTGAAAGGAAGAGAAAGAAAGCAACTCATCATATCTGTAGTCCAGATTGATGCTGTCAATATGTGTTTTCCTGATCTTCTATTTCTTAATATCTATAACTTGCCTGTTTAAGTGGGTCAGTCTGTTTGAGAAGAGAACAATTTAAGAAGCAATTGAGATAGTAGGAACTGCCGATCCTGAAGTCTGAGATAACAAGGTGTAGAGCTGGATGAACACAGCAGGCCAGGCAGCATCAGAGGAGCAGGAAAGCTGATGTTTTGGGTCTGGACCGTTCTTCAGAAATGGGGGAAGGGAAAGGGGCTCTGAAATAAATAGAGAGAGGGGGAGGCGATGATAAAAGGTGGATAGAGGAGCAGATAGGTGGAGAGAAGACGGACAGGTCAAGGAGGCGGGGATGATACCAGTACAGGTGAGTGTAGGTAGGGAGTTGGAATGGGGGTTGGTCAGTGAGGAGGGAGGGGCGGGTAGGTGGGAGAGAAGATGGACAGGTCGAGGCGGGGATGAGGATGGTAGGTAGGAAGTGGGGGTGGGGGTTGGTCAGTGAGGTGAGAGGAGCGGATACGTGGGACAGAAGATGGACAGGTCAAGGAGGCGGGGACGAGATGCGCTGGTCTTGGGATGAGGTCGGCGGTGGGGAGAGTTTGAAACTTGTAAAGTCCAAATTGAGCTGCAGGGTTCCCAGGCGGAATATGAGGTGCTGTTCCTCCAGCCTTTGGGTGGCATTGTTGTGGCAATGGAGGAGGCCCAGGAAGGACATGTCGTCCAAGGAGTGGGAGGGGAAGTTGAAGTGGTTCGTGACTGGGAGGTGTTGTTGTTTGTCACGAACCGAGCGTAGGTGCTCCACAAAGTGGCCTCCAAGCCTCCACTTAGTTTCCCTGATGTAGAGGAGGCCACATCAGCAACAGTGGATACAATAGACCACATTAGCAGATGTGCAGGTGAACATCTGTTTAATGTGGAAGGTTTTCTTGGGGCCTGGGATGAAGGTGAGGGTGGAGGTGTAGGGGCGGGTGTAGCACTTCCTGCAGTTGCAGGGAAAAGTGGTGGGGCTAGTGGGGAGTGTGGAGCGGACGAGGGAGTTGCGGAGAGAGCAGTCCCTCCGGAAGGCAGATAAGGGTGGGGAGGGAAATATATCTTTGGTAGTGGGGTCAGATTGCAGATGTCGGAAGTGGCGGAGAATGATGTGTTGAATTGATTGAGTTGAGTTCTAAAGTTATAAGCAATTCATATTTCCTAATTGCCATTGTTCAAAGACAAATTGCTTATAATGAGCAGATATTTTCTTGTTAAGTACAGAAACCTGGTGTATGTTTTCTTTAAACCTGCGTTCATCAGTCAGGTAAATTAGGAACCTTGGATAGTTTGACTAAAACTTTTCACGTGCCTGACAATTCTGGAAATAGTGGTGTTTGATTTTTAGGGTATGAAAGGCATGGATACAGTCCCCAGTGTTGTAGAGTGGATGCAATGCCCAGTGCTATGGAATGGTCACAATGTACAGTGTGGTGTAGTGGAATGGATTCATGCTGAGGAATGGGTATAGTGATCAGTGCTGTGCAGTGTGTATTCTGTCAAGTGCTTGGAGTGGGTAGAGTGTGCTGTGCTGTTCTGATAATACCATGTGCAGTGCTGTGCAGTATAAACAGTGCCCAGTGCCGTGCATTGGTTACAGTGCCCAATACCGTTGTGTGGATACAATTTACAGTGTTGTCGATAGGACACAGTGAAGAGGGTAGTGAGCAGTGGTATGGAGTGTGTAGGGCTTGTAGTTAAGTTCTGTGGATAAAGTGCCCAGTGCTGTGGAATGGGTACAGTGCCCAGTGCTATACAGTAAACACAGTGTCCAGTGTTGGGCAGTGGGCACAGTGTTCAGTGTTGTACAGTGGGTACAGTGTCTAACTGTGAGCAGTGGATACAGTTTCCAGTGTTGGGCAGTGGATACAGTGTCTAGAGTTGTATAGAGAGCTTAATATCCAGTGTTGGACAGCAGACACAGTGTCCAATGTTATACAGTTGGCAAAGTGGGTCCAGAGTGGTACAGTGTCCAGTGTTGGGCAGTGGGCGCAGTGACAATGGAAAGTGGGCGGAGCTGCGGGTTGATGCTGACCAATGAGTGCGGTGTCTCCGCCCCCCAAATGCAGTGCTGCGCTTTGATTGGCAACAGCCTGACTGTAAGAGCCCGCAACCGGCTGTTCACTTTCATTGGAGCAAGATGGCGGCTGTGCTTCAGTCTCCTAGTCCCGGCACCGGGCACGGTACCAGAACCAGCCCGCTGAAAGCGTGAGTCCAGCCAGGGAGACTTGGCCACACAGACATGCACACTGAGATGGGGGCGGGGGGGGAAGGCTGCTGGCTGCTGGCTGCTGGCTGCTGGCCTTGGCCGGAATACCATTCCACTTGGCTTGGCCCCGCTGATCGCCAGCTTCGGCCGGCGGAGTGGGTAGCCAGCAGCTCCTTGACAGCTTCAGCGCCAGAGCTGAGGCTCAGGAGCTGCGGCCAAGGGGATGGGGGTTTATGTGCTGAATAATATGTTCAGTTGGAAGGGCACGGGGTGACTGGGAGGATGGGCAGAGGTGGGTGCTGTACTGGGTGTGGTGTCTGACCAGAAGGCTGCTGCTGCTGCCCCACACTATCTGAATGGGGTCTGGAGGGAGCGAATGTTGTTGACCATTTGCAGAGAAATATTTGCTACCGATTGCTGCTGTTTTTACTGCTTACTCCCTCCAAGAGTGAAATGAATTGCGACTTCATCGCAGTTAGTTGCGTGCACGTGAAAGCCTGCTTGTATTTTGATTTTGATCTGGAACAGTGATGTGGGATCTCCTGGATGATGTATCAGCTTTTGCAGCATACGAGCTGTACTGTTTTCCCCATTGTTAAACTGTCTTTACTGTTTAAAAAGTGACTTTGAATGGACTCGTTTCATTTACTTACGAACTTCGGAGGTCAGCTTTTCAACCTCTGCATTCACCACCTGTGTAAGGTCACTTATAGGGATTAGTTAGCTCAGTTGGCTGGTTGAGATTATTACCAACAGCGTGAATTTAATTCTTGCACTAGCTGAGATTACCATGAAGGACATTCTTCCTCCACCTTTCCCCTCACTTGAAGTGTGGTGACTCTTGGGTTAAACCACTAGCAGTCATCCCTCTCTCATGAGAGCAGCCTTGTGGTCTGGTAGGATGGTAGCAACTTTACCATTACCTTCTTAAAGTCATTGTTATCTTTGGGTGTTTTAATTCTGTATTCAAGGGTTCCAACATTGCCTTTCAGAAGGGATTTCTGGTCTTTTGTTAATTGCTTTTGCAAAGGGAGCATTAGACTAAGTGTCATGCACACTGTTGCTTGCTCAAGGTTGAATGAACGGCACCCATGCTGGGTTACAGTATTACTGACCTGCTTCTTGATACTTTACAGTGATTGTTCATTTCTGTAGGAAGCAGCCAGTGATCTCTTTTAGACTGCACATAATTGAATGTTGTAGTTTATTCTTGGATGTAATTGCATATTTTTATTGCTGGTGAAATGGTCCATTGAATATTGGCAATCCCCTACAGTGCAATGGATGTTTAATATTGCTGCTTCCCTATTATTGGTTGCTTGTTCATTGCTTTAGCAAATACTTATTTTCCCAGTACCCCTCCTCCCAAGCTGTTGGTTTTTTTTTTCTGAACTTCTAATTGCTTATCGGTACCTTTGCTGTTGATACTTATAACTACTACTAGGATATCTGCTGTCATGGTGTGCTATCACCCAGGCCATCAATTCAATCTGTTTAAAATTTCACGTCTCTGCTCTGCGGTCAGCTGCTGATGAAACGCTGTTCCAGGTTTTTTTTTGTTAAAACAGGAATTGACCTGAACAACCTTGAACTCTCCGCTAAACCTGAAATAAGGTTCTGACTAAGTGTCATTTGGACCCAAAAGGTTGGCGGTGCTTTACCTTCAGATGCTGCTAAATCTGCTGAGTATCTCCAGCAATTCTTTTTTTTTTTTTTTTAAAAGTTCAAAATTCTCCTTTCTGGGTGTTTACTAATACAATGTCCGATTCACTTGGCCTGGGGTTTACTGACCTAACTTCAAATTTTTCAACCTTTGTGTTCATATACTTCAATGGTCTTAGCCTCGCTCTATCTGTCATTTCCTCCGATCTGACAGTCTTCCGATACCTCTTCAATTCTGGCATCTTGTACATTTGTGCTCTTCATCTTTTAGTTACCCTGCTTTCTGCTGACCTCTTCTAGAACACCTTCTCTAATTTTCTTCACTTTTTCACCCCTCTCTACTGCTTCAAGACACTTGTTAAGATTGACCTCTTTGCTGAAATGTTGATTTCTAATTTTAATACCTCCTTGTGTAGCTGGCTGTTAATAATCAATTATTTTGGCTTGATTTTCACACCTGTGAAGTATCTTGGCCTGGTTTGTGAGGGTGTTGCTGGCTAGGCAGCATTTATTGCCTATCCTGAATTACCCAGAAGGCAGTTCAGTGTGAACCACATTGCTATGAGTCTGGAGTCCCATGTAGGCCAGACCAGGCAACGGTGGCAGTTTCCTCCACTAAAGAACCCACGTGGTTCACTAATGCTTTTACGACAATCGGCAATGGATTCATGGCCATCATTAGAATCTCAATTCCAGATATCTTTATTGAATTCAAATCTCACCGTCTGCTGTGGTAGGATTCAAACCCAGGTTCCCAGAATGTTATCTGGGTCTCTGGAATAACGTCCTAGTGATAATACCACTAGGCCATCATTGTAAAAGCTTCAGTAGTTATCTGAAGTGAAAAAGATTAATGGAGGCCCCTTGCAGTCAGAAACAAGAGAAGCTTTATAACGGGGGAATCAGAGATGATGGACTGTTTAAGTGCATATTACTGGTTCTGTCTCCAAAAGAGGACACAGATAACATCCCAAATATTTTGGGTTAGATAGAATATAGAACACTAGAACATTACAGCGCAGTATAGGCCCTTCGGCCCTTGATGTTGCGCCGACCTGTGAAACCAATCTCAAACCCATCTAACCTACATGATTCCATTATCATCTATATGTTTATCCAATGACCATTTAAATGCCCTTAAAGTTGGCGAGTCTACTACTGTTGCAGGCAGGGCATTCTACGCCTTTACTACTGAGTAAAGAACCTACCTCTGACATCTGTCCTAAATCGATCACCCCTCAATTTAAAGCTATGTCCCCTCGTGCTAGCCATCACCATCCGAGGAAAAAGGCTCTCACTGTCCACCCTATCTAATCCTCTGATCATCTTTGTAGGTCTCTATTAAGTCACCTCTTAACCTTCTTCTCTCTAACGAAAACAGCCTCCAGTCCCTCAGCCTTTCCTCATAAGACCTTCCCTCCATACCAGGCAACATCCTGGTAAATCTCCTCTGCACCCTTTCCAATGCTTCCACATCCTATAATGCGACGACCAGATCTGTACGCAATATTCCAAGTGTGGCCGCACCAGAGTTTTGTACAGCTGCAACGTGACCTCATGGCTGCGAAACTCAATCCCTCTACCAATAAAACCTAACACACCGTATGCCTTCTTAACAACCCTATCAACCTGGGTGGCAACGTTCAGGGATCCATGCACATGGACACCGAGATCTCTCTGCTCATCCACACTACCAAGAATCTTACCATTAGCCCAGTACTCTGTATTCCAGTTACTCCTTCCAAAGTGAATCACCTCACACTTTTTTCCGCATTAAACTCCATTTGCCACCTCTCAGTCCAGCTCTGCAGCTTATCTATGCCCCTCTGTAACCTGCAACATCCTTCCGCACTATCCACAACTCCACCGACTTTAGTGTCATCCGCAAATTTACTAACCCATCCTTCTACGCCCTCATCCAGGTCACTTATAAAAATGACAAACAGCAGTGGCCCCAAAACAGATCCTTGAGGTACACCACTAGTAACTGAACTCCAGGATGAACATTTCCCATCAACCACCACCCTCTGTCTTCTTACAGTTAGCCAACTTCTGATCCAACCCGCTAAATCACCCTCAATCCCATGCCTCTGTATTTTCTGCAATAGCCTACCATGGGGAACCTTATCAAATGCTTTACTGAAATCCATATACACCACATCAACCGCTATCTTCCAGTCGTCTGGCACTATTCCTGTAGACAATGACGACATAAAGATCAAAGCCAAAGGCTCTGCAATCTCCTCCCTAGCTTCCCAGAGAATCCTAGGATAAATCCCATCCGTCCCAGGGGACTTATCTATTTTCACACTTTCCAGAATTGTTAACACCTCCTTATGAACCTCGATCCCGTCTAGTCTAATAGCTTGTATCTCAGTATTCTCCTCGACAACTTTGTCTTTGTCTTTGTCTTTGTCTTTGTCTTCTTTCCTGCGTGAATACTGACGAAAAATATTCATTTAGCGCCTCTCCTATCTCTTCGGACTCCACGCACAACTTCCCACTACTGTCCTTGACTGGCCCTAATCTTACTCTAGTAATTCTTTTATTCCTGACATACCTATAGAAAGCTTTAGGGTTTTCCTTGATCCTACCTGATAAAGACTTCTCATGTCCCCTACTGCCTCTTCTTAACTCTCTCTTTAGGTCCTTCCTGGCTAACTTGTAACTCTGAAGCACCCTAACTGAGCCTTCACGCTTCATCTCTACATAAGCCTCCTTCTTCCTCTTGACGAGATTCAACTTCTTTAGTAAACCACGGTTCCCTCTCTCGACCACATCCTCCCTGCCTGACAGGTACGTACTTCTCAAGGACACGCAGTAGCTGTTCCTTGAACAAGCTCCACATTTCAATTGTGCCCAGCCCCTGCAGTTTCCTTCTCCATCCTGTGCATCCTAAATCTTGCCAATTGCCTTTCCCCCAGCTATAACTCTTGCCCTGCGGTATGTACCTATCCCTTTCCATCGCTAAAGTAAACGTAACCGAATTGTGGTCACTATCACCAAAGTGCTCACCTACCTCCAAATCTAACACCTGGCCTGGTTCATTACCCAGTACCAAATCCAATGTGGCCTCGCCTCTTGTCGGCCTATCTACGTACTGTGTCAGGAAACCCTCCTGCACACATTGGACAAAAACTGACCCATCTAAAGTACTCCAACTATAGCGTTTCCAGTCAATATTTGGAAAGTTAAAGTCCCCCATAACAACTACCCTGTTACTTTTGCTCCTATCCAGAATCATCTTTGCAATCTTTTCCTCTACATCTCTGGAGCTTTTCGGAGGTCTATAGAAAACTCCCAACAGGGTGACCTCTCCTTTCCTGGTTCTAATCTCAGCCCATACTACCTCAGTAGACGAGTCCTCATCAAACGTCCTTTCTGCCACCGTAATACTGTCCTTGAGTAACAATGCCACACCTCCCCCTCTTTTACCACCTTCCCTGATCTTACTGAAACATCTCAACCCCGGAACCTGCAACAACCATTCCTGTCCCTGCTCTATCCATGTCTCCAAAATGGCCACAACATCGAAGTCCCAGGTACCAACCCATGCTGCAATTTCACCCACCTTATTCCGGATGCTCCTGGCGTTAAGTAGACACACTTCAAACCACCTTCCTGCCTGCCGGTACATTCCTGCGACCTTGAAACCTTATTCATGACCTAAAGGATATGGCCTAGTGAAGGGGAGGAACTGAATGAAATCCGAATTAGTAGGGAAATGGTGTTGGAGAAATTAAGACTGATAAATCTCCAAGGCCTGAAAATCCTGTAATGCCACTGTTTGTAAAAGAAAGTAAGGAGAAAAAAAAACAGGAATTCTGGACCAGTTAGCCTGACTTTGCAGAACTGATGGTTATTTTTCAGTGCCACTTCAGTGAGGTTTAAGCTAGATGTTATAACTGCAGAGGCCAGTGTCCTGTCACCAAGTGAGTGGAGGTAGATATAGAGGAGACGTCAGAGGTAGGCTCTTTACTCAGTGTGGTCAGGGCATGGAATGATTGCCAGAGAAGGTAGTGGAGTCGGCCTCGTTAGGGGTATTTAAGTGGCTATTAGATAGGCATACGGATGATAGTATAAGGTAGGGGTGGAAGTTAGATAGATCTTAGGATTAGGGTAAAAGTTCGGCACAACATCGTGGGCCGAAGGGCCTGTGCTGTGCTGTACTGTACTGTTATGTTCTAAGTCTTCCTTTATTTACATGTGCTAGCTCAGAACCAGACCCTAGACTGAGGAGACCTTCTGAATCTCCTGTTTATATCTGTTAACCAGGGCTCCCTGAATGGCTGTTTAACTCCAATCAAGAATCTGTCAATGAGATCCACCTGGCCCTCATTCCAGTCACTATAACCTTTCCCCATTAAATGCAGGGATGTAGGCGTATTCTTTTCTTCTAGCTTCTCCTGGGATGTTTTTGCCCAGGTTCAGTTCCTCCGAGTCATGACGTGAACGTGGATGGCGTGTCTGGGACTGTAGCCCATCTTGTGGAAAGGCTGCCAACATCGTCAAAGACCCCTCCCACACCATCAGTGCTCTCCTACATTCTTTTCCATCAGGCAGAAGGTACAGCGGTTTGAACATCCACCAAGAACAGCTTCTTCCCTGTTATTAGACTGAATGGACTGTCTGACTTCTTTGCGCCCCTGCTATGCAGTGTAACCTGTGTGCCTCACTATGATCTGTATACCTCTTGTTTGTTATGATCTGCCTGTACTGCTCGCAAGACAAAGCTTTTCACTGTACTTGGGTACACATGACTACAATAAACCAAATCTTCCACCTGGAGTGTCTTGGGGAGAGTTTCCTCCTCTTTAGGTGGTAAGTGTCGAGATTGCATCCATTTTGGATTTTGAGGTTTCAGCAATGCTGGACAGAGAAGAACCCACAGTTTCTGGCTGTTCTGAGGAGCCAGGTATGTTTTGTCCTGCTCTGGTTGTGAGGTAGTAGCTTTCAGGTGATCCACATGTTTGTTCAGGTCCATCTCACTTGTCTGAATTTTGTATCTGGACCTGACCTCATGTCAACCATGCCTTGAATGCATGCAGGGCCGTTTCCATGGTATCGACACCAAACTTTGACCCCTAAAGTAAACCGTGTCTCATGCTTACAGGAGGGATGTCGCTGGCATCAGCATTCCTGCTGTTTCAACCCCCACCCTGGTTCTGGGAGTACGAGGTTAAACCTGGTGGAATCTTCTCCATGTTAGCAACTCTGCTGCAGCCATCCCTATAGTTGCTTGAGGGGTGGTCCTATAATCAAACAGGAATCAGGACAGTTTGGTATTGAGTGAAGTTTATAGGCTGTTTCTTTAAGCGTGCCTTCAATGTTTGGACTGCTTTCTGTCACACCATTGAATTGGTATATTGACTTTAGAAAATACTCAATCCCTGCTGATAATAACATCCTGTTGTCTGTGAGTCAGTGCATCATGAGCAAATGCTCACAGCTTTTCAATCATCCCTAATCTTGCTAAATTAACTCTATGCATGTCTAACCACTTTGAACAGGCATCCACAATGACCAAGAACATTAAACCCATGAAAAGACTTGCATAGTTGACATGTAACGGAGTCCAGGGTTTACTAGGCCATTCCCACGAATGTAGGAGCGCCACTGGTGGTAATTTTTGTCCTTGTTGGCAATCTGGCACTGCCCCACCAACCCAGTTATGACAGCATCCAATCCTGGCCACCAGCCGTAATGCCTTGTCACCATGTTTCATTTTGGAAACCTCTGGATGATCCTTGTGAAATACAGCCAGTATCTGGCAGCAGCCTTTGCTCGGAACACTCGCTTTCTTGCTCCCCATGATATGCCATCCTCTACAGCGATCTGGACTTGCTGGGTCCAGGAAACTGGTTGTGATAGTGCTTTTGTTCCCTTCCTCTTCTTTCCACGCGCACACACACCCTCGGCCATTACCAGCAGCTGTTTTTAGTTTTGCCAGGACAGGATCTGTTCTCTTTTTCTTTGCACAGTCAGATATTGTCAGCAGTGACCAAAAGCGTGTCAAAGGTTTTAAAACGAGAACAGACTGTGTTCCAGGGGAGGCACCACCACCTGTGGTGCATCTGCCAGTCGGAGGTGACTGAAAGCATTTGGTACTTGGCCTCTTGGACAGTGTTACAACTTGTAGTTGTACGCACTGAGAATGAGGGCCCACTGCTGAATTTGACCAGAAGCTATGGGTGACATGGCCTTGTTGTCTTTAAATAGCTGGGGCAGCACAGTGGCTCAGTGGTTAGCATTGCTGCCTCGCAGTGCCAGGGACCTAGGTTCAATTCCACACTCGGTTGACTGTCTGTGTGGAGTTTGCACATTCTCACAGTGTCTGCATGGGCTTCCTCCAGTTTCTTCCCACAGCCCAAAGATGTGCAGGCTAAGTGGATTGGCCATCCTAAATTGCCCATAGTATTCGGGGATATGTAGATTAGGTGGGTTACAGGGGATGGGTCTGGATGGGATGCTGTAGGGTCGGTGTGGACTTGTTAGGCCGACAGGCCTGATGCTACACTGTAGGGGTTCTATGAGCCCTAGTAGCGGTTTGTGGTCCATTACTATTAGAGATTTACATCAATAAGGTATTGGTGTAACTTTTTCTCACACCAAAGATTTACCGTCAAACCTTCCTTCTCTATCTAGGTGCATTTATGTTCGGTATGGGCCAAAGTCTGGGGAGCATACGCTATCGGGCATTTGTCAGCATTGGGCCACTGGTGAGCCAACACTACCCTGATACCGTACAAGGAGGCATCGCATGTCAGCACCACTTTTGGCCTGTGTTCGTAGTGGACCAACACATTCAACTACAATAGCTGCTCATTCATCTCCCTAAAAGCTGCTGCTTGTCTACGTGACCATTTCCAAAGCTGACCCTTTTCCAACAGCAGGTGTAAGAGTGCAAAGGTGGAAGCTGGGTTACGTATGAATTTCCCATAATAATAATTCTCCGACCCAAAGAAATACTTAAGCTCCAGTACAGACGTGGGAGCCGGAGCTCCTTTGATTGCCCTCACATTACGTTCTGATAGGTGTAACCTGGTTTTGTTAACTCTCGCCCAAGTAGGTCTTTTGGGCTGCCTGGAGCACATGTTTTTCTCTAAGGCATATGCCCACCTGGGAGAAACGTTTAATCACTGTCAAAGTGCTCTTTATTGATCTTACCAGTTATTAGCACATCATCCCAATAAATGGCAACCTGGGGTAGCCCTTGTAAAATGTTCTGCATTGTCTGCTGGAAAAGGGCACAGACTGAGATACCCCAAATGGTAGTCTTGTATATTGGTACAAACTGTTATTGGTATTAATTGTAGCATCCATCTGGGACTCCTAGTTGCAGTTACTTGTAGGCATGGCTCATATCCAGCTTTGTGAAGGACAGCCCCCTGCTGGTTTTGTGCACAAGTTCTGTGCGAGCAATTGTGTATTTATACAGTTGAGAAGCACTTTACCACTTGCTTAAAATCCCCCCAAAGGTGAACCAAGCCATCGGGCTTCACAATTGGTACTACCTAACTGTGCAAACTGCATTTGTCAGACAATTCCTTTGCTTTCCAGCCTCTTGATTTCTGACTCTACTTCTTGCCCATAAGGCAAGTATCAATGGGAGGGCCTTACAGAATCACTGAATTGTTTCCTGCTCAACATGTAAGGTCGTCTTGGCTCTTTTTGATAGTCCCTGAACTTTCCTGGAAAAATGTCTGGGTACTTAGGTCTTCACTCGAGCAGCCACTTTCTAATTGAAAAATGTTGAGCCACCCAAGGTGAATCTTTCTGAACCGATTTCCAATCCATCAAGCTTACCCCCGAGCCTTTTACTACAATCAATGGTAACTGCAACAACTTTTTCTCATAGGAAACCAGAACAGGGGTTGTACCCTTAATCTGTAATGGTTCCCTGGTATAGTTCTCACTCTAGCTGAGGTCTTGCGTAAATGTAAGGGTTGGAGTGCAGAGCAAATCCTGCTTCTGTTACAACTGCACCGGCATTGACCTCCATTTTGATTTGGATCTATGCAATTTAACAGTTCCAAGCCACATCCAGTGTGTGCAATTTCCTGTATAATGGCTTATGAGTTCTTTTACTCAAGTCAGGCCTCGAGTCTGAATATTATAGAAGCTGCTAATGGCTTGCCGGCCCAGATCCTGAAGAACATATTAGCCACTAGGCCGAGGCTCAGTTTTGTTTTGGGTTGACCTGGGGTCTCTCTGCTCAGGATATTGCCTGTGTGAGGCTGTACAACTGCCTACACTCAAGTGGTGTTCTCCAAGCTCAGTTGGACAGGTGAGGTGCCCACTTCCAGTGGAATGCCTTGTAGCTCAGAGGTTGCCACATTTTCTAACAACAAAGCCAGTTGTAGTGCCCATTTTGAAGTCCAGTTGGGCTTCAGCTGGTGGGTGCTCTTTCATGGTTATGTCAGTGATCTCACATACCAAATGGTGTCTCAGCATCTCATTGAGGGTTAACCCAAAATCACATGCCTCTACCAATTGACTTAACCTCGTCACAAATCCTGATACAGATTCCCCTGGTTCTCAAACTGCTGATTAAAGCCGATAACATCTCTGAATTAGGGGAGGCTATTGGTTGTAACATTCTTTAGCTAAATCCATCAACTCTTGAAAGGCTTTAGCATCTGTTGCCTTAGGGAAAGTTAGGCTCCTAATAATGGCAAATGATGTGGGTCTGCAAGCAGTCAGAAGACTTGTCCAGTGGGGCAGATGAAAAGCAATGTCATTTGCCCAAGAAAATATAATGCATTCCTTCCACATAGTGGGCCTTGTCTTCAGCAGGATCAAACAAGTCAAGCTTCCCAAATAAAGACATGATGCCAGAAATGCTTACTCCAACTCAAGTTGAGTGAATTTTCTTCAGGAGCAAACTGTGTTTTCTCTCCTCATCACTGAAATAACTGCAGAGGCCAGTATCCTGTTACCAAGTTCTTTTACTTGTGCACGGTAGATGGGCTCTGACTAGCCAGCTCAGCCTCAGTCCCTGGACTGAGGAGACATTCTGAACCTCTCTCTTTACATCTGTCAGCCAGGGCTCCCTGAATGGGGTTGTTAACCTGAGCCAACCAGGATCTCTCACTCAATAAGATCCATCTGACCCTCATTCCAGTGAGGTTTTTTGGTTATGATCCAGTTCACCAGTCAGATTAACCCTATTACCAGTTTGGACTTTGAACAGTTTACAAGCATAGAATTTGAGCTGTTGAATGCAGGAAAAGGTAAAGTCTGACAAGGTACTTGGGATGTGTCCCACTTATTAACATTATGTTGATATGTGACATTTTAACACAATAAAATGACCCAATATGCATCTCAGGAGCATTCTAATAGAAGTAAGATTTGACAGTGAGCCATAGGCGATATTGGGGATGATTACCAAGAGCTTGATCCTAGAGAGATAGTAGGAACTGGAGAATCTGAGATAACAAGGTTTAGAGCTGGTTGAACACAGCAGGCCGAGGAGCAGGAAGGCTGACATTTCGGGCCTAGACCCTTCTTCGGTCTAGGCCCGAAACGTCAGCCTTCCTGCTCCTCTGATGCTGCTTGGCCTGCTGTGTTCATCCAGCTCTAAACCTTGTTAGCTTGATCCTACAGTTGAGTTATAGGGGCAGTCTTAAAGGAGTGAAGTGATTATGTAGAAGTGCAAGAGGGATGAGCCTAGAATTTGGCAGATGGTATGGCTACCAGCTGGTTTGTGGTTAAACCCCGGGATGCTCAAGAAGCTAGAACTAAAAGAAAGCAGATATCTTGAGTTCTAAGGCTGGAGAATGCCCCAATGAATGGGGGCAAGGCCATGGAGGAATAGGAAAATAAAGAGTGAGACTGTTAAATTGTAGACCTGTCTTAGGCTGGATCCAGCGTAGGTTAGTGATCAGAAGGTGAATGGAACTTGGTTCAGGTTAAGTAGAAAGTTGTCTTTTACTCTTGTTTTAGGTGATCTCGCGTTGCACTCTCTGTAAAATGTTGAAGCTGACTGGGCTTTTGTTGGGACAGATGACGTTGGGTGAAGTTACAAGTATGAAAATAAGCTGCTTTTGTAATTGTGTGTATCTAAAAGCATCTCCTTTTGTGGACAGTCCAATAAGAGGGAGTTACAGAGCTTTAATTCCTTAGCATAATTAGCTTGATATTCTATAGCAAGAAAGTATAGCTGTAATATTTATAAAATAAGAGGATTTCACTGACTTGTGTGTATATAACTGCATGCTCGGAGTAATTCTTTTATACAGTGTCCCTAATTTGGAGCAAATGAATCGTTAGTATGTATTGTCAGCCATCCTGAATGATAGTCTGTATGAAAACCAGGGTTTCTTATTTGTATATCTTGCCTGTTTTTGAGAAGTACTAGTGAGTTGAGTTAACATACTGTATGTTAGGAAACTGATGTCAATGCAATTGTTGAAGGACAAGTGTGCTTCTTTTTTTTTTGCTGAGTGGCAGGGAGTGAAAGTATGTTACTTTTGCCCACTAGCATGTTTCCTAAACAAATGTTCAATTTTGGACCATAGTGAGTTGTACCAATTACTGTATTTTCTTAACCCGTGAGTTCCATTCTGTTTCAATGAATGTATTTTCCTCCTCCTTTATTCTGATTTTTGGTGCTTTCTGCCACCCACTTTCCAGTAAGCTGGCAGGCTTTATACTGTCCCTATTGGCTTCATGGAGAAGTGTTTTTGTGGAAGGTTGCAGTCTCGTAGGTTAGTGATCAGGTGTTGTGCCAAACCTACCTTCCCCCAACACAACACCCCACAACCACAACCACAACCACCCACAAAAAAAGTCCCTTAATTATGGTTAGTTTGTATCTCAAGCTTGATGGGCCAGCTGATCTCTTCCAGCCTGCAGCTCTTCATATCTTCAGAAAGTCAGCTCATAGGTTCAAGAGGTGGTTTTTTTTTTTTTTTTTTTTTTGCCAGTCGGACTTGTTTAAAATTGCTTTTGTGGAACCCTTTCTCCCTCCACGATCATGGGTCGTTCATAGCAGAATATCTGTACGGTTGACAATCACCAAAGACAGAACCATGAAGACTTGTTTGTTCAGTTTTAAAGCTATCTGATTTTGATGCAGCTGGAGAATTTATGAACTTTTCCCTATTCCAGATTACGAAGCATTAATTATTGTGTTATGGGGATCTCTAGTAAAGCCAGCCTTTAGTTGCCTTGAAAATGTTGGCAGCCCAACCTTTCAAAATAACATAGTCTGTGGTAAAGGTACACCAGTGCTTTGAGGAGGGGAGATTCCAGGATTTTGAGCCAGCAACAGGAAAGCAACAACAATATAGTTCCAAGTCAATGGTGTGTGACTTGGATGAAAAATTGAGTTCCTGTGCTTCTGCTGTCCTTCTCCTCCCCAACCAAACTATCATAGGTTTGGGAGCTGCTTCGAAGCTTTAATGATTTGCTGCATGCACCTTTTGGATGCACACTGAGGTATAGGAGACGAATGTTGGGGATGGGGTGCCGATCAACTGAATTTTTTTTTTTTTAAATGTGCCTTTTTGTTTTTAGCAAGGTCAAATACAAAATCAATTGGAGACATCCAGGATCAAAGCACTAGCACCTGCTGAATTATGTCATGGCTCACATCAAGGATATGTGATGCCTGTAATCAGGGTCTGATGAATGCTGGACAGATCATCAACTTCATCAATTGATGATGAACTTCCATCCAGCATCAAAGAAGCCTTCCAGAAGAAGAATACCT